CCACTCCACCACCGGGGGCTTATACCCCAGACAACATAGCCCCGGGATCACAGGGGTACTCAAATCCCTCCACCATGTTAAGGTGGCAATTCTGCAGAGCTAAGCTTAAATCAGTATAAAAATAAGCTAAAGGTAGCAGCCATTATCTGGAATTAGCACCCTGATGCTGAAAGTGTTGCAAAGATTTTAAATTAGCAGAAGCATAAAAGCAAAAATGTACAAAAAAGAGAAATAATTTGTAGTAAAATAGCACAAACAGCCAAACTTTAATTAAAACAGCTAAAAAGTAGATGTAATTTCTTTACTTAGCATAAGGAAGCAAAGAGCACAAGTTGGCTGAACTTAACAGAAATAACTTGTAACAGCGACAAAAATGTGTATTTAGCTCAAAAATGCTAACTTTAGCTAATAACAGTTGAACATTAGCTAAAATACAGAAATGTAAGTGAACTACACTGAGCTCAGTTATGCAAAACGTATTTGTCTAGTTGCAATCCCCTCATAGAAACAGAACTATGAGGTGTGTGTAACTCATTACCAATAAATAGGAAGAGTATTTTAGCTAGGAATGCTCATCCCAGCACCTTTGACAAAGACCTGATCTTGTCGTATATAATAGTGGTTTCTTGTATAAGGATGATATATTCCTGCCTGTGTACACAAACTGAAGTGACACTTGGGTGAGTAATTTTGATGGTCTGTTGCCATGTTTACCTGGTTACCCCCCATCCTGTGGCATGGGCCTATTTCCACACTTCCTCCATTTGTGTGTCCCATACTGTCAATACAGTAACTGGTCTCAAAGCCACGGATCTGTGCACACAGACATTACAGATAATATGACAGATATTATTATAAACACAAAATCTAAAACAGTAAGATGACATGTTGAGTTTCTGCTTACCTCCCCCCACTCTACATTTTTTGGAGGCAGAGGGTAGTGCAGCGGGATGTCGTATGCTATCTCCTCCATGAACCATTTAAAACTCTTACAGCGATGTTCCTCTCTGAAATAAAGATTGGTCAAAACAAACACAACCATCATCACACAGCTTTTCTCAACTCATACGCTTCAGTCTGGGTCATTTACTAYTTTAGCTCAAACTAAAGTTAAATTCAAACCAAAGAAAAGTGAGGAAATTGTAATTTCTGAGAAAACTCAGTGTGAATGCTGAGAGCTGAATGACTCAGCTGAAACGGAGCTGTATAAGTTCATAAATGTGGGACTTCTGGTGAACACACATGAAGTAAGATGAGTTTGTGGGAGCTCAGACAYGATGTCATTCTAATTAATCAACATCAAAAAGTCTGTGCATCATTTGCTGCAGATGTGTTCATGTTTTAGTAAAAAGGAAAGATGTTGACGTCTTTCTGTTCACTGTAGCAGGACTAAGATGACGACTGGAAATTAAACTTAGGTGGAGCAACACATCTTGATAAACACCTGCCTGGTGTTAGTTAATTTACCCCCTTCAGGCTGTTAAATATAAAGGTACTGAAGGAAATTCTGATTGACTGAATGTTAGATCCAGTATTGTAAATTTATGCTTTCTGTTCATTGCAGCTATAAGGTTTAAAACAGAGACGTGTCTTATCGATGTGTTCCTTCTGTCTGCTTAAACAAAAGTTAAGGTTTGACATAAAAGGTAAGACCTTCAGGGGTGTAACCAGGAAGAGACACATGTTAAAAGGTTGAAGCATTATTATATGTGCAGGGAGAGTTTATTGTTAGTGTTTGTGTGAAGTCTCTGCATGAGAGCTGCTGGAGCTGATTGGACAGAGACGAGAATAAAGATTTTTTTAAGAGCTTTTCTAAATTATTCAGACTTCCCTTTATTGATCACAAATTCCCTTCAGTACTGTTAAACGAAAACCATTTAAATCCAACATACAACCATTAATAATTACAGTTTGCATGTAGAAGAAAAATGCAGTTAAGTTACGAGTCAGTTTCCAGTGTTTCATTAGTCTGATGCAGTTCTTACAACATGCTGAATCTCTGTATTACTCACAGAAAGAATCATTATTTTATTTACAGCTCGTTAATTTGACACCTTGCAGATCACTTACTTTAGGTTTTATACCTTTAATGCTGATTATTAAAAAAATCTGAGTTATGGGAGAAAATGTCATTTAGATAGTTGATAAATTAGTCAATAAATGGATTTTAAAAAATAATTGATAGTGGCAGCCCTATTAGCCTCTTCAGGTAACTTGAGTATAGCATTCAGCACTTGACAGTCTTGCCGAAAAAGTAATTTTTCTAATTAAACTTTTTCAATTTAGATAACTGAAATTTTTATTTAAATGTCTGAACTTGTACAAAAAAGACTGAAACAATTCAGACACATTAAGCACTAATGTGAAGTATCAATAAAAGGTTTAACAGTGGTTTAATTAAAAACCTGCTCTGTGTTAGCTAACAGAGTGTACACATTTCAACAAACCCATAAAAACATTGTGTTTCTGTTCGTACCTGAAGCGTTTCAGCTCACTGATGTCTCCGTAGGCCAGAGTGAGAGTTTCAGGACGACTGGCATAGAAGTAGTCCTTATATTCATCCCACCAAACCTCCACCACACGGACATAGTTCTGTTCACACAAACAGAAGCAGAATTCAGCTGTGTGTCTGTCTACTAACACAAACTCACTGAACAACAAAAACATCCATTAGATCCAAGTGTGTTGGATTCTATTGAAACAAAGAGTTAAAGCATAAAGTGACTGTTGACAACACACATCGACACAGAACCTGGAAGGAAAGATCCTCCTAGCATGTTGAAGTTTAAACTGAAATCATCTAATGCTGAAAGACAGAGATGTGCTCAACATTTATCATGAGAAGTACTCTCAGTTACTACCAGGTCTGTGAATCAAATGTAAGAGTTTTATTTGTGTTTGAAACTATCAGACAGAGGATGACTAAATGCTTCCAGTATTAAAACTCTGCTCTGCCTTGGTACAGTCATTGTATGTTTGTAAAAGCTGCTGTTTGAGACTGTTGTGTATTATTATTTGTGTACCAAATGTTTCACATTGCTGATCTGTCAAACCGTCCTGATGCTGCACTTAATGTGCCTCAGTCAAATCTACATATGTACTCCTGGTTTCTCTCACTGGGAGTTTTAATAAAGAACGTTAAACTTTTACATTTTACCAAATAGTACCGTATTTTTCAGACTATAAGCCGCGGCTTTTTTCCTGAACTTTGAACCATGCGGCTTATAGTCCGGTGCGACTTCTACGTGGATTTTTTTCTTCAGCCACCAGGGGGCTCTTATGCTGCATTTGCTTCAACCACTCGCTTCAAAAAAAAAAAAAAAAAAAAAAA